GACCTGAACAATGAATACGGATAACAAAGAATTGACACCTTTGTGCTGCAGTGTTGAAGAGCACTGAAAATCCCATGGACAGTCAAGAGAATAAACAGATAAGTCTTAGAATGAAGAGGCTTTACCTCACATACATTGGACATACTGCTAGGAGGTGCTATCCCTTGGAGAGGTACATGATGTTGGCAAGGAAAGAGGGTTGGTGAAGGAGAGGAAGACCCTCAACCAGATGAATTGATACTGTGACTGCTGCAATGGGCTCTTGTGTCGGGAGGTTAGAATAGCGCACAGGACAGGACTGGGTTCAGACCTTTTGTTCACAAGGTCACTACGAGTCATACTTGATGGCACCTAACAACCACCACCACCTTAAAGGAAGTGCAACGAGGGTGCTCCTTGAAGATGGTGAAACTTCATCTGATATACCCTGTGCATGTTGTCAGGAGGGCCCAGTGTTCGGAAAGGTGAAAGGTCAGTGAAAGAGAGGAAGACCCTCAACATGGAGGACACAATGGGCTATCAGATAGGGAGAGAGGGTGCAAGAGAGGACAAGGTTCAAATCTGTTGATCACAGAGTTGCTATGAGTAGTTGTTGTAGACCTGACAGCACCGATGCTCTCCAGTGCAGACCCCACCCTTAAGGAGACTTCTTTTACATGCGATCAGAGCTATGACCATATTCTGGGTCTTATGTTCCACCCAAATTCTGTATCAAATCAGGGTTGATCATATTAGACCACATCATGGGGAATAACTACATCATAATTGTCTCATTAAATAAATGTGAAACTATAATATGATGACCAAATTGACAGTTTTTCCAACCATCATAGGTGCTATGTCAGGTATTAGAGAATAATGAGATTTCCAATTATAAGGTTTGATCCCCCCCCCCCTTACTGGCTGGGTAATGTTAGGTAAAAAAAAAACTGACTCTCTTTTGTCAGTATAAATGTCTTGCAGTTATTATCGATTATGCTGGCAGTGCAAGTGGAATATAGATATTTATCTGAGTGGGATAATCGGGATGGGAGTGTCAGAGACACTGCGATTGGCACAGGACAGAGTTTAGGGCTGTTGTACATAGGGTCGCTATGAGTCACAAGCGACTCGAAGGCACATAACAACAACAAACTGGAGCTGTGGCAGCATAACCCATGGAGAGTGGCTTTGAAAACCCAAAGATCATCTGTCTCCTGTCACGCTGTTTACAGCTTCAAAAAACCTGCTGCTATGACTTAGTACTGACTCGGTGGCAGAGAGAGGGAGAGATCTGAATAACAAGTCTGGTAATTAAAAAGAACAAAATAGAAGGAAAGACAGAAAGGGAGACAGAGCTTCTTGAAATGGACTTAATAGTTAAGCCATTTGTGTGTGGTGTGTAAAAGCTCTTCGGGTTATTGTGGAAATTCTCCCCTTCCCCTGGTCACTACTAATGCAAACAATGGCAAGAACACTGACCTTGGCATGCCATGACCCAAGCTTTGACCCTGGCCATCTGACCTTGCTCATATCCTGTGTGCATGCCACACAGAAGTGATTGATCCAAATATTTACCCTGTTTAGTTTCTAGGACTGTTGCAAAAATTGGGAAAATAAGGAATGTTGTTATGTGCCGTCGAGTCGTTTGTGACTCATAGTGCCCCTATGTACAACAGCCCTAAACCCTGTTCTATCCTGTGCCAATTGCATTGCCTCTGAGACACCCACCCCGATTATCCCAGACACTGAATCAATCCACCTCATAGAGGGTCTTCCCCTGCTGCGTTGTCCCTCTCCAAGGACCTCTCCCTCCTTACAACATGTCCAAAGTATGTCAGATGAAGCTCCAGAATCCTTGCCTCCAAGGAACAGCCTGGTTTAACCCACTCTAGGATGAATCTGTCTGTTTTATTGGCAGTCCAGGGTACATTCAATACTCTTCTCCAGCACCACAGCTCAAAGGCATCAATTCTCCTTCTATCCTCCCTAGTCATTGTCCAGTTCTCTGATGCATAACAAGGGATTGCAAAGACCATGGCCTGTATCAGGCGCACCTTAATCTCCAGAGAGACACCGTTGCTCTTGAGTACTTTAGGTCCCTAACAGCAGACTTTCCCATCGCAATATGTTTTTTTATTTCCTGGCTGCTTGTGCCAAGAGTGTTGACCAGGGAGCCGAGCAAACTAAAGCTGTGAACAATCTCAATCTCTTCGCCATCCATCCTGATGCTACCGATTGGTCCAGTGGTGAGAATCTTTGAATTATTCATGGCAAATACTTTAAGAGACATAAACGCAGGTTATACACTTGGACTTCACCTGATGGTATGCATAGGAATCAGATCGATTGTATCTGTGGAAAAACCACTGGAAAAGCTCATTATCAGCTGTGAAAACTAGGCCAGGAGCTGACTGTGGAACAGACCACCAACTACTCATATGCAAGTTCAAGCTGAAGCTGAGGAAAATTAAACCGAATCCACAGGAACCAAAATATGACTTTAATTTCATACCACCTGAATTTCAGAATCATCTCAGGAACAGGTTTGAGGCCTTGAACACTAATGAGTGAAGACCAGATGAGTTGTGGGAGGATATTAAATGTATCATCCAGGAAGAGTGCAGTCATTACAAAGACAGAAGAGGAAGCAAAGACCAAAATGGATGTCAGAAGAAACTCTGAAGATTGCACTGGAACACAGAGAAGCCAAAGCACAAGACACTAAAGAGCTGAACAGAAGATTCCAAAAGGCAGCACGAAATGACAAAGCAAAATATTACAATGAAATGTGCGAGGAGCTAGAGTCAGAAAATCAAAAGGGCCAAACTCGTTCAGCATTTCTTAAGCTCAAGGAACTGAAGAACAAATTCAAACCTCAAGTTGCTATGATCAACGATGCTTTAGGCAGAATGTTAAACGATCCAAGAGGTATCAAAAGAAGATGGAAGGAATATACTGAGTCATTGTATCGAAAGGAGTTGGCAGATACAGAAGAATTTAATGAAATAACACATGAGCAAGAGCCTATGGTGATTAAGGAAGAAGCTCAAGCTGCTTTGAAGGAAATAGCAAAAAATAAGGCCCCCTGAATAGATGGTATACCAGTTGACTTATTTCAGCTCACAGATGCCGCCCTGGATGTACTCACCAAGTTTTGCCAAGAAATCTGGAGAACAACCACTTGACCAACTGACTGGAAGAGGTCTATATTTGTTCCCATTCCAAAGAAGGGAGACCCAACTTAATTCTTTGAAGTCCAAGGAGATGAAGCAGTAACTGCTTTCATTTACTCTGATAATGTGATGTTTCCATGCTTGAGCATTATTTTAAGGGAGTTCTGGAGCAGGAATTTCCCAAGGTTTAGGTGCAGTGATTAAAAGCATCATCAAGTGAACAGTTGGCAGTTTGAACCTTCCAGGTGCTCCACAGGAGAGAGACTGGGAAATCGGCCTCTATAAAGATTATAGAGACTTAGGAGACTCTGGGGCATGTCGGCTCTGTTATATGGAGGCATTGTCTTGATGGTACTCTGCAGCAATACTGCCCTAAAGACTGCTGACAGACTCACAACAGATTTAAAATATAAGCTCTACCTTTGATTCGTAAGAATAAATCATAGGAAATGTCCCTTGTTTGTGAAGATGGCGCAAGGTTTTGATGTGTCGAACATAGGGGGTCACTTGAATTGGAATTGCCTCAACAGCATCTGAGAACAACTCCTATGTTTCATTTACACTTAAATCTATTTAATATTATGTTGTAAAGTGCCATCAAGTCAGAACAAACTGAACAAACTGAACAAAGCTGATCCTCCAGCGGGTTTTCAGCTGCACAGGAAGAGATTGCCTGTCTTTCTCCCAAGAAGCAGCTGGAAGATTTGAACTACCTGCCTGTGGGTTGGCAGTGCAACTCCTTACTAAGCCACCAGAACGCCCTGTCCTGCTTACTGGTCACCTATAAATGAACACAAATGGTACCCTACCAACACATTGGAGTGCCTTCAGTTCTTGTCAGTGTAGCACTGTGTTTGCTGGGATTTCGCACATGTAGATAATTGGAATTTCTGAAATTATTTGGGAGAATGTATTTGCCAATACATGATGTTATCTTGAGTTGGTTCTCATTTTTCAAGTACTTTTGTTCTTGCCTTTTCAATTTTAAAATCATGCTGTTTAGTTTTATCCTTTCCTTGTGATGAGTTCTTTGCTTAACATGTGTTTCTAACCTGTAATTTTCTAATAAACTACTACTTACTCAAAATTACTGAAGCATAATCTCTCCAATGCTGCTTTCACACCGGCATTTAATTGCTGTCACTGAATCGGCACCTCTGACCCACTGGAAAGGGGTCAGCTGGTGAAATAGAGCCTTTGTTCCAAGTCATTGGAGAGGATCAAAAAAGTTCTCCAGCTGTTGCTAGGTGTTGTCATAAAAACAAACAAAAAAACAACAAACCCGTTGACATCGAGTTGGAACTGACTCATAATTGGCCCTTCTTTGGGTTTCTGGGGCTGTAAACCACACAGGAGGAAATTACCCTTGGAGCTGCTGGTGGATTCAAACCTCTGGAGAGCTTGGCCTCTGGATTCGCAGCCCAACTCTCTATGAATTAGGCCTCCAAAATTCTCTTTAAAACCACTGTCAGTCAAGATGGAACCAAGTCATAGCTGACCCTGTGTTGGTTTTCCAGAGCGGTAAATTGTGAGGGAGCAGACTCCGCATCTTACTCCCAAGGACCCACTGGCAGATTCAAGCCACCAAAGAGAGTCAGCCTTCAGGTTAACAGCGCAGCTCCCTATGGATTAGGCTATCAAAGCTCCCTTTAGTCATAAAAGCCGGTATTAGGTATGAATCTTGCCATCACAGATTAACTACTTAGTAGTTAACAGAGCTTTTATGAGTCAGAATTGACTTGATGGCAACAGGTATGGTTTCAGTGTAGTGATAGGTGCTGAGAGAGATCCTCTTGCTAATTAATGACTTGACCCCTTCTTACTGCTTTGCTTCTCCTTATGCAGATTCCTCAGACCCCTGCACAGTTGAGAGAAAAGCCCGAAAAATTAGTGTGACTTCCAAAGTACAGGCGGATATCCATGACACCCAGGCAGCAGCCACAGATGGTTTGTACTTGTGTATACAGACACGTAGTAACCCGTGTAGTTGGCATAGCTAAAGTCAACCCTTCATTTTGTTCCTCCCAAAATTGTCCTCTCTATGAAGTTTCTAAGGCTGCAACATCCAGTAGAAACACAATGTAAGCCTCATCTAGAATTTAACATATTCTGGCACCTTCATTAAAGGAGCAGGTCAGATGGCCTAGTGGTAGGGAGCAGTGCTGCCATCGCGGAGAGAATGAAGGGCAGTTGATTTCTTGCTTCTGAAAATCCACTGGAGGGTCAGCAATGTTTCAGTTCCAACTTGACAGGACACAGCAACAATGTTAAAGAAGTCGGAACAAATGGTAGAATTATTTAAAAATATCACCATTTTAACATGCAGTCAGTGACAAGTTATTAGTGACATCTTTGGCCTTCACTTTACCTTCACAGCACCTTTCAGCTGAAGACTTCTAGCCCTTGCTGCTTTTTGGAAAAAAATAACTACTTTTCCGTCAGCTTTTCAGTTCTTTGAGTCCTTTTTCTCCTCCCAATTACTGTGTAATATAAACAGCATTGATTGAACGAAGACATTTTTGTGTGATATTTGTTAAGACTTTTCATTCTTAGGGCAATAGAGCCCATTAAGACAATGCCATTTGCAAATTACTCATTTTAAAGGAGAAACCAGTTTATCTAATTTTCTTTCTAAATATGCATCTGCCTTTAAATTTTGTTTTTAAGCCTGAGGTATTTTGACTTAAATATTATTCCACTAAAGATTGCATGCCTACAGGTGAAATGAGAATAGGCATATTAAAAAATGTCTTTTAGGATTTAGATACCTCTATTCAACAATACTGCTCTGTGCAGTGTCTTTTTAAGGACTAAAAAGAATTCTGAATTACATCCCTTTTAAATACAAGTTTGGTAAGTTACTTTGACTTCAAAATATTAAACAGCATGAGAGTCTCCAGGTATCCTGGACTAATTAGATTAAAAGAGATATTGTAACTTTTTTAAGAAAGAGTTTGACAGACCTTTTCATGTAAAAAGTTTACACTGCCACCATATAAAATTGAAGCCTGCATTTTAAATCACCATATGAAGAGAGAATTCAGCAGCTTAAGGATTTAGTACCACTAATTTTCCAACTTTGTAATAAATGTTTCATGACATAGGGCTTCTCCTGCTTTGGGAAGGTATGGAAATGAGTTTTTAAAGCCTGTTCATTAAAATCAACAAAATCCCAGTAAGATGGGATTTTTTTTTTTAGGTCTAGTTTTGAGACATGCTATTCTTCTTAAAAGGCTATACAAGATGAGGTCTTCTTTGAAATGGCATAATGAACATTTTCCCGCTAGCATGAGGCTTTAACAGTGTGCTTTTTATTCCTTTATATGAGCCAGAAAAGAAAATTAAATCTGCCTGTTTTGGAATCATGGGCCAAAAAAACACAGGCAGTGAAATGCAGCAATTGAGTCAAGAGAAAGAAATACATGTTCTTTGTGTAATCATAGGAATAGACTGAAGAATGCTCAGTGGGGGGAGGAGAGAGAGAGAGTATGCGTGTGTGTGTGTACACACCTGTGCACACTCCCTATTGTAAGGCTAAAATCTCCTTTTCTGAGACCACGTTTACCATACTTTGGGATAAGATTTAGAGTCTAAAACTCAGTTCTTTTTACCTCTTGGTTTGTCTTGAAAGACAAACGCATAAACCAGGAGGCAGTTAAAAAACTTCGTTATAAATAAACCTAACCCAAAATGTCAATTGGTCAAACTTCCCTAAATCTCTCTTTTGTTTGGCCTGGTAAGGAAGGTTACCTCGCCTCCTGTTCACTTCACTGGGGATTGCCAGTATTTTAGAAGTCTTTACCTCAGCATGCTAACCTTTTCCAGATTCCAGCCTGGATTCCACCTCGAGCTCTTCAGTCTACTCTTCACTCTCCCCGCTTGTACTATATGATGTTGGGTGTTGTCGAGTTGATTACCACTCATAGGGACCCTAAGAACAGCAGATCTGAACCTTGCCCTATCCATGCTCAAGCTCATTGTTACAGTCACTGTGTCAGCCCATCGTGTCGAGGGTCTTCCTGTCTTCCTCTGCCCCTCCATCTTTCCCAGCATGATGGAGTTTTGAAGGGCAGGCCCCACCTGCCCAGAGTATGTGAGATGAAGTTTCACTATCCTTGCTTCTAAGAAGCACCATTGTTGCACTTAATCCATGACATATTTCTTTGTTCATTTGGCAGTTCATAGGACACTCAGCACTCTTGTGTGATACCACAACCCAAAGACATCGATTCTTTTTCTGTCATCCTTATTCACTGCCCAGCTTCATTAAAAAGACCATGGCTTAGATCAGGCACATGTGATCTTTAACCTGACATCGATATTTGTTAACACTTCAGAGAGAGCTCCTTTACAGCAGATTATACCGATGCAACACATCTTTGATTTCTTTTGTTTTGATTTATTGTCCACTGCTTCGATGGGTTGTTGATTTGGGATCCAAGGAAAGTGAAGTCATTCACAACTTCAGTCTTTTCTCCATCTCTCGTGATGTTGCCAACTGAACAGTGAGGACCATTTTTGTTTTGTTGATGTTGAGATGCAGTCTGTATTGAAGGCTAGGCTAGTACGTACTGTTCCCCAAAAGTAAGATGTACAGATTAACTTGCCTTTTTCAGAGAATTTTTTTTTCTTTGATTTTGTTAGGATTGAAAATACCTGCAGCAGTACAACTGTTTCTTCATGTACATTCCAGGAATGTTCAAGTTGTGCTCCCATCCTCTCCCTCCTTATCCATAGTGTCTTTCCTGCATCGACAGAAACACGCCATCTCCTAAGCTGTTTATCTAACCTTTGAAGTTGCCTTCATCTGTTCCATCCCATGTAGATAGTTCAAACAGAGCCTTTTTGAACACAAGGCCAGATTTAAGACCCAAGAGGAATACAAGGTCACTTTCATGTTTTGCTTTGTTTCATTTGAAATCCTCAGGACTCATTTGAAGCTGGGAGCATTTTCTCTTGCCAGGTTAACACTGAAAATCCACTGGTGGGGTGTCGATTACATCTCAGGGAAGCCTTGCTGCAGGGGTCTGAGGCTCTCCATCTTTCTAGTAGGGGACTGCTGGGTTTTCCCAGGGAGCAGCTGGCTCGTTCAAACCCAAGCCGCAACCACTTTGCACGTTAGACACTATGCCAACAGAGTGCTTTGGAATTCATTTAAGGTGTTATATAGAATTTCTCCTATTTCCCCCCCCTTCTGGCTAGAATGTGGTACAACTGTCTACTAATCTCTCAAAGATAAGAGTGTCCACTTTCATAAAGATTTACAGCCGTGAAAACCCAATGGGATAGTCCTGTTCTATCCTATGGGGTTACTACAAGTCTGAATTGACTTGGTAGCACTGGGGTTTGTCTTTATTTTACCTCCTAGAGATAGATGAGGAACTAGGAAGGTGATTTGTGCTGGACTTCAGCCCATCTCTGTAACCACTGCTGTCAGGTTGATTCGGACTCAAGGTGATCCTCCTGTGAGTCTCTCTCTGTGAAGATACTGGCTACGCTTTTCCTGTGGAGCGACTCATGGATTCAAACTACTGGCCTTTTGGTTAGCAACCTGATCTATTACATGCCAAGGCACCAGAGCTCCTCATCCATCATCTTAATAAGCTTTAGAAAGCATCAAGTTTACAATAAAGACTACATGTCATCAAACCTTGTGTCCAGTTCTGTATCTCTAGTAGATCTGCTAACTAATTGGCTTACAGAGTGCCAGGAAATCCTCACCCTTGTTTCTTGGGATCATTTTCAATACGGGTTATAATTGAAAACAAATTCACCTGCTCTATTTTTTTTATTATTACTATTATTCTGACTTCTTGCAGAGCATCTCACTGGCTCCAAACTGAGTCCTCGGCTCCAACCCCGAGATGAAGACTATGAAGGGGCGCCCTGGAATTGTGATAAGTGCACCTTTCTGAACCACCCTGCCCTGAACCGCTGTGAGCAGTGTGAGATGCCGCGGTACACTTGAATTGAGAAGCCTGCACCCGGTTGCAATGACATTTTGAGCACCCATCCCAAGGAAAGGAAGCTTTGAGAATCTTTCCATCTGCCTAGCCTTTTCCTGTCAGATCACACCGGGGGAGGAAAACAAATATGACACTGTATCCACTTAGGTTCACTAAAGGAAAAATGGGGTGTTGGGGGGTTCCCCCCTTTCTTAACTCTTTGCAGAGTAAGAAATATAAAGGGATACTTGAAACCAGGAAAAGATTCACTCCTGAAAGAATGTACATGGAGAACTCAAGAGTTCTTCTGTGGAAACCCTATTGTTAACGTTACTGCTGAGTGGCCCTTATTTTTTTAAAACTAGGACTTTGAATCATGGTGTAAAATGTTACAGTTTCTGCAGACAAACTGTGAATTGCCAGAGCAGACTTGTCTGGGTACAGAGGTTCCCATGCTTCTTCCTGTTGCTTCCTGCAACAGGGCAGGAAAAAGCATCCAAATATGGTTTCTTTGGGGGCAGGGGGCGCAAAATAATTCTATTTGTAATTGCTGCTTTTTTTTTCAGGGGTAATTTCAAACACACATGTGTATGTACACGAACATGATGTGATCCATAGCAGGCAGGAATTTGGCCTGTGTGCCCTTTGTTCTACCATACAATCAGTGGTGGGAAGATCCATTTTTGCTTGAAAATGATTCATCAGACTGTATCAACACTGGTTACTGAGACCCAAATATGCCACATACTAGATACATCTTTGACGTTACTGCATGCTTCAGCGAGGACACTGGTTTTAAAATAAGCAAGCAAGTCCTTAAAATGACATTCTTATAAAACTGCGCTTTGCTGATAGCACAGTGAATGTATGCCAAATGTAAGCCCATTCCAAAATCCACTTGGAAGCCTGGATCTCAGCCGTGGTTCTAGAAAATGTGTGTGCGGGCTTCCTTTTCTTTTTTTCTCATTCATTCTCTCTCCTAACTCCCGCTTTTTTTAAGAATCCATGACGTTTACAGCACAGATCATACTTTGTGCCATAATCCTAATTTAACAAAAAATAATAACTGTTCAATAAAGATTTGCACATAAGTACACCAGTGTGAGGGAAATTACAGTTGGCCAATATCATGAGGTTGCGTACTGCCTTATTTGGGCTAGAAGAGAAGGGTAATTAGGAAATGCTATGGAGAAAGACGAATACAGGATACTTTGGAACCACGAATGTTTTAAATTTCATATACTGTATTCAGAAGTAATTCTAAGCTTGTTTAGGTAGTTCAGATAATACAAAGCACTCCTTATTTATGAAACCAGAACTTTAGAGTGTGGATAATGGAAGAGGTGGAAACATCATGTGACTGAATAGAGTGCATCACTAGAAACTGAATACTAGCACCTTTAATTAAGGTCTCTCTTATTATTGGATTTCCTTTCCAGCTCTGAATTAGATTTTGGAATCAAGTTGGTAAGTTTGCCAATCCTAAAGGATTTCACCTGGAATTATTATACCTTTAGGAATATTCATTTTCTCCAAACACATTCTTCCTTATTTCTACCCATCTCTCTCCCTCCCTGTCTCTTCCCCTCTAAGCCAGCCTTGTGTTTTAATTCAGCAGTAATCTCTGGCAGATCTGGAAAAAAAAAGCTGCACTTAACAGCATAATGAAACCAAAGGCATAATGATGCATTATACTTTTCCATCAAAAGCCATCATTTCTTCCGCTTTGAAAACATTTTTTTTTTCCTACGTGGAAAATTCCCAACAATACATCCACTCATTTAACAAAGTAAGCAAGCATGGTTATATACTGATTCAACATCTCTCGTACAACAACTGGCAAAACTGTGAAAAAAAATGGTGAGAGTGCAGATGGGCTCAACAGCATTATTCAGAGAGCTGTGTTCTTTAAAGACTGTGACACTGGTATCTGTCAGTCCTTTCTATTCATTAACAGTCTCCCAGTCCTCTGGTCCTGTAATATGCCAATGCCTTTGTATGGTTTCATGTCTCCTTAGTGATGGTCAGCCCCATTTGGTTTGAAGCGACAATATAAGGAAATACACACACACACACACAGAGCTCGGTATTCTACCTAAAGGTATTCACAGCGATGCTAGAGTGAGCAATATAAATGGTAATTGTCAGTTGAGAATGATAGTAGCATGTATGAAAACAGTCTGTTGCTTTATTAACACCATGTCGTTGACTTAAAAACTATTGCATGAGAAGACATCAAGGTTAATAAGCTATTATCATACAGTACATACATGGGTTCAGTCCTTTGGTAAACTAGCTAGTCAATAATTGTTTTCATCTGCCAGGAGAAATGAGCAGTCTGTCTGATAGATGTGGAGGGTGGGGTGTGAGACGGGAGTGACTGATTTTAAGGAAGTGTTTGGGGTGGTTGGTTTTTTTTAAAGTGTTAATTTCTGGTTGCATACAAGTTTCCTATGTCAACCTAGGCTGTGGTTTTGAAATAAGCAAAATGTATTTGCTTGTATGATCAGGGGTTTTTTTTAATTACCAAAAAAATTACATTGATCATTTTGGTATATTTCACTGTGTCCTGTATATAGACTGCTTCTTGCCAGTGACCAATTTGAACAAGAATTCATCCAACTCTCAAGGTTCCTTTCACGAGGATCTCCTTGTCGAATTGGTCTGTACAAGTAATAGGATAAAAATGGGACAGTGACTCGCTGCTCATGGGTTGGCATTCTTTTGGTCAGTTGGCACACTTCTCGTGCCTCGTCAGAGTTTTCTCTGAAAATACAAATAGTTTGATGCATCTGGTACCATATAGGCCTGACTCTGCATTTGACGTTATTTTGCTGGTTTGCAGACTGGGTATTTAGAAAACACTGTTGCCGTTCTGTTAAAGGACATCACCCCTTAAATTATGGCCTAGTTCTTAAAAGTTTAAGGTGGGAAGAATAGAGGAGCCAGAAACTTTCTAAGCATTGTAAAATGTTTTTACTTTATATTGACCTTGTATGGGAGAGAGTTGAGGCAGGGGGTATTAAAGAATGCCTTGTAAAAATGTAGGTTTAGAGCAGTTTATTGATGGTGGGAAGTGTTGCTAATCTGTCTGTTTATTTCCCTGAAAGAAATGAGAAGTGTGATGAGCAGTTTAATAATTTTTCAAGGAGCTGGTCTCGATTTAGTACTTTTGAATTATTAAAAGAAATCAATGTTTCCTTAAATTTTGTCACTGCTTTGCCACAGTTCTCTCTAGGGTTCATATCCAACTTTCTGTGGCAATTCAATTTTATATAGTATTTTAAAAGGTAATTGTAATGTCTTTTTGACAGTATAAATGAAAAGCAAGAAGATAAGGCCTAGAAATGTTATCCCTTAAGAAATATCAATGATGTATCCTGGAATGTGAAAATGGCCCTTTAGAGATAAAAATGGATTTATTTTAACCTTGTATCATTGTATGAGTCTATGTTGCAGTGTGTGTCTATATATGCATAGAGGAAGAAAAATGACAATTGAAATACTACTTTGAAAAATCTGAATAAATTGGGCACTGTGTTGCACCACTACTGTATCTTTTTGAAAGAATTAACAGTGTTTTCTTATTGTTAAAGTTAATTCTGATGATGTTTTCACATTCACCAAACATGCATTTTTTTCTGTATTATTTGCATCCCCAAGTATTTAATACAAATAGATTTTGCATGGCTTGGGCATTCAGAGATTAATAGAATGATGGCTCACTTTTCATTTCTAAAGCCATGAGACATTGCCTTGAGACTGAACAATTCTGAATTTTTATTTATGATGACATCTAATGTCCATGTTTCCCTACTGTAAAAGAATTGATCAGTTTCTGTATTACAACAGCAAGAATTTATTAAATCTTGTAAATACCACATCTCTCTTAGATCTCTGTGTATGCTGTGAATGAAATTATTTTACAATTAAATTGTACAAAGGCATTTTAAAAGGCTATGCATGCATCGTACCTCCAAGCAGTACATAATTGGAGAGTCGAAGATTCCTGCGAAATAAATTAATAAACTAAAAGCAAACACTACATTCTGCCATTTCTTTTTTCTGTGTAGTTAGAAATAAGAGAAACAAAAAAAAAAAAAAGAAATAAGAGAAACGATTAAACCAGTTCTACTGCCAACACTCATGGTTTCCTGGACTGAAAGATGCTCCCATAAACCTAGTTTTGCATCACATTTATGTTGCCTGATATTAGAGCTGAGTGTGAAGTGAACATTACTTTAAAAATTTAGTACAAGTGTTTTGGATGGAAATTGGAATATATTAAGACTTTATATTTTTCATTCCATATGTAGCTATTACTTATAAACAATGAGTAATTTTATTCTGGTTATTTCACTTACTGTCCTAACCCTCATCATATTTTGTGCAAAAAAAAAAAAATCACAGATGGATTTTAGTTGGATAGATAACTTTTTCAGTAATTAAGTGCATTTTTAATACTAATTTCCACTAGGTTTTTTTTATTATATGAAAAATTAAAAACACAAAAGCACAGAAGAATTTTCTGACAATCTCCCCTTTACTAGTTACCTGACTCCTAAGATTATATACACATATATGCATTCAAATAATCACTCATATATTCTTATTTCCCCATCATTAGCTATTTTGAAGCAAATCTCAGAGACATTATTTCCCCTCTAAATAAACTTTTAAAACATAAGGAGAGTGTATCTGTATCCATATTACACGTAAATTAATATGTGTTAAATTTCCCCAAAAGTCTTATTTTTCATAAGCTTGCACAAATTAAGGTCTAAATTGATACCTATGGAATTGATCGATAGAGGGGTTTTTTTTCAGTCTTTAACCGCCTATATTCTTTTCCCTCCCCTCTCCTGCCCCCTTTATATTTCTGCCGGAAATCCAGTCATGTATTAACTGGAGTACTTTTCTAAAGAAACGGCCCCTCATTAACTATTTGGCCACCAGGTGTTACGGTAAGGTAATGCATAGAACAAGTGTTAAAACTAGTATGGTGAATGTTTTTAAATTCCTTCTCATTCATCATTTTCCGCATCCTGCCGAGTCCCTTTTTTAAATAGACAATTATATCT